AAATGTTTTGTTACTCATCCAAGTGACTTCTAGCTCCGAAACCACCAGAGAAGTCTTCAGTCTGGAAACTGAAGAAGTCACTTGGACGAGTGACAAAACGTTTCTCCCACAAATGAACAGAATCAGCTTTTGGAGATCCAAGTGACTTCTTCAGTCGATAAAGAAGGATCAGCGATGAAACTTTTCTCCCACTGAAAACGCTCCATCCAGATGAACAGAATGTTGGGGGAAGTTAATAATAACTTGATGTTTGATCAATTTCTTCTAAATGCGGGTAAACAAAAACCTCACTCTGCCGTCAATTAATGTTTAGTTGGTGTCCTTCACAGGTGGATTTGGTGGGAACTTCTACGGCAGCGACAGCTACGGAGGAAATTACAGCCACTCGGGTAGCGTGGATTGGTGGGGAAACTAGTCACCATAGGAATAGGTTGCCATGCCAACCCAATGGAAACCACATGTTGACTTAAGCCAGACCATTAAAAAAAAGAAAAAAACCTTCCCTGTGTAGCTTCACTGACACACAGTACATTACCAACCCTGGTTCTCTGCCATTCGCTTCTCGAAAAGGAAGTGCAGCACGAAGCAACGGAGCGTCACCAGCACGTGCAGCACGCCGGAGACCGCAGAGATTTCGCACACCTCAGAGTGAGCATGGATGCTGACATGCATTGTCCGACAGCAACCTCGGACGTTCGTCTTTAAAAGTATTTTTGTTTTGTTTTTTGTTTTGTTTTTTTGTGGGGGGGAAACCCAACCGAGTAGCCTGAGGATCATTTGTATGTTAATGTACTGTGCCTTTTGAATTTAAACAGGAAATCTATGTTTTCATTTCACCAGATGAACCTGGCCAAGAGCTGAAATTTGTTTTACTATGACTTTGTTTGGTGAAAAATATTAAAGGGTAAAATAAGCTTGGATTTGATCAAACCTTGGCAAACACTGGGATGTTGTGGCTCTCAGGAGTCATGACTCCATTTGAACTTCAAATTTATTACAGGAACATCATGTAGCCTTTTCTATACTCAAACAGCTAATGGAGCCATTACTATATCTAATACAAACTGGGCCACTCTGTGAGGTGACCGTATTTTAATCGTAAGAGACAAAGTTACATTTGTGTTCTTTTTTTGCTCACTCTATCCTGGACAGGCTCCTTTTTTACGGAAATGGTAGTCTTTGAAATAGCCATTCCTATCGTAATCTTAAGAAACACAGAAGTCATTAAGCTCAGTGCCAACAATTGCTGAGGTTGATACAAGAATAATAAATGCTGGAACTTGTTACTCCATGCTTTTCAATTGACTTGACAGTGTTACGGCAGCTAGTATGTTACCAAGTGCTAGCTACATTAAGTGGGCGGTGTTTTGTTCCTTTTTTGCGTGAGACCTTTTTGATGCAGGTGCGTGAAAAGTTTAAAAAACTGAGTCAGGTTTTGCTTTGTTTTCTTGTTTGTTTTTTTTGTTTTTGAATAGTTTCTCTACAAATGTGTAACAAGACAAAAATGCCTGCCATCTTGAAAGTGAAGTTCAAAATGGCTGCATAAAGGACCACAGCATCGGGGGGGCATAGCGCAGTGTTAGTGTTTACCTGAATCGACCTGCAATCACGAGGCCCACACGGTATTCTACGCTTGCAAGTGTTTTGTTTTTTGGTCAAGGAGAAAGGACACGTGAACTGAGTCGCAGGCTTAACTTAATTACAAACGTTTTCTCTTTTCAAGCTGCGTTGGAGGCATGGTTCATCTTAAGGAAACAGGCATTTGAATAATCACTGAGGTTTTTCAATTAAACAGCAAGGAACAGATGCAGGTTAGAGGAACACTCCGACCACTGGGGTTAGGGCTTTAGGGTGGGGGGGTTGCAGGCGATGGGCGCAGCTTTCAGTGCACCGCCATTGTCAGTGGCTTTGGTTTCCATCGCTGCGTATTGTAACTGTGGATGTGGCCAAAGACTGGGGGGGTTGGGAGGGGTGGTGTCTACTTCCTTTAAGAAATATTTAAGTACTGTCAGGTCTTCTGGGAGTTCATCTGCTCAGAACTGTATAAAAATGATAAAGACAAAAAAAATCTGTGGCTTCGTGAAGCCAGAGGTGCTTCTCCTCTTAAAGAGGAGCAGCCGTGGAGAGGAGGGGAAGACACGCATGGGGCGTTTCACCTCAAAATGCTCCCAGTTTTCTCATCGGGTTTGTTGTGCCTTGAACTTTTTTTATTTAAGAAATCAAAATAAAAGTGGATGCACTGACAGTGTTGAGAACTTGAGATTGAATGGTGCTACTTGATTTAGGTGTGTAGGCCCTCGTATGTTGTGCCCATCGAGTTTTACGAAAGTTGTTTTATTGCACATCTAGAGTTTTATATAGATGTCTTGGATATGTGTCCTTAAGCTTCCAAATATTGTGTGAGGAGACAGAGGAGGAGAAAAATAACGCAGCTTGTTTACAAAGGGGAAGGGTTCTCAATGTTAAAAACCAGGATTTATTTGGGACCAGGGGATTTAGCAGTCGGGGGAATTTAGCCATTTGCACAGATTTCTAGATTCTACTTTTGCTGCTAGTTTTGTGTAATTTATTAAGCATTTTTGACAAATATTTATTTTTGTAAGCCTCAGAGTGATTCTTTGAAAGTTTCAGAAACTTGACCAAAAGACAGTTCAAAAAAAACACTGGCACTTGAATGTTGAATGTCACCTGTATGCGTGAAATTTATATATTTCGGGGTAGTGTGAGCTTTTTAATGTCGAAGATACATTGGACTCAGTAAATAATATCCACAGCTGTTTCAGGGCCTCCTCAGGGCCAGTCATCTCTATTAGATAATACTAATTGGTCAACGAAATTTGAAACAGAATCTTAACAAACATGCCAAGGTTTGGTATAATGCTGTCTAAAAAGCAAATAAATGTCCTAAGCATATCAGTGCAAAAGTGTTCAGATTCTCCAATTGTGTGCATTAATAACTCTTTATTCTAATTTGACCTGATGATTATTTTTCTCCAGTGAATGTCTGGCACATGGCAATCCTTAAAGAAACAAACATGTGGTTTATTCTCATTGTTGTATTTGCATATATGACACCTCTGGGGTTCTCTGGGAACGTGGAGCAGGTCTGCAGCACTGATCTTTTACACGGCAGCTCTTTGGGCTGCTGCGGATTAACAGGAGGCTCTGTGCATGCTGACTGCAGGCAGAACCCGGAGACTTGCTCCACGGTCTGCGGAGAACCTCTGAGCTCTTTAGGTGTAGACTTTGCTTTCTGTATTAGCTTATAGGTAACTGCACTGCATGGGAATTACTCAGCTGTGCAAATTGTATGATTTTACCAAAATAAAATGTTTGAATGCAAAAGTATCTGGATAAATCAAGCATGTTTCATCGAAGACTTGTTTGACATAGACATGCAAAGAAAACCTGTAGCAAACAGCCTGTGGCCAACGGCCAGCAAAATTCAATTTAGTAATGGTGATTGGATGGATGGGTTTCATTTCTTTTGAAGAAACTACATAAAGATTTCATTTGTAAATTAAACTGTGTCAGTTGATTTATTTTGTTTTTCTGCTGAGCTCAGTGTGTCACCTCTGGTTTTGTATTTGCTGGGATTCCAGCTTATTCTCAGTCTAATCACAGGTGCGTGTCTACAGCTGATCCATTAACGGGGCAAGGGGGATGCTATTGTTTACTGTTGCAATTCCCAACACCACCGAATGAGATGGACTAAATACTTGAGTACAGTTTTAATGGACTTAAGTATTTCTTGAGCTACTTTCCATTACTACTTAACTACTGCGCATTTCTAGTCAAATATTCAAGTTTCTGGCAGCTTGCACACATTTAAGAGGTGCTCCCATTCATGAAGCTGTCTCTCTGTTGTAGACTGACAGTGGATATGCCTTCCTCCTTGAAAGCTTGTCTCTGACAGGTTTAATTGGAGTTCCAGTGACCAAATACAAATAACATTTCAACTCCTGATCTTTAATCGATTTGATTTAATGCCGTAATGAGGGAACAGGCCTCATGTGGTCATGAAACTGCTTGTCCATCAATTTTCCAATTAATTTCAAGCCTTTGACAAACGGTAACTATGCGTAAAAATGTCTAATTGTTAAACAGGTTATGTAATTCTTTGTAAAATCCCTTCAGTTAAGTCTGCACTTGATATCCAGTGTAGTGGTATACAGGAGCAAATTCACATGGTGTGAATGCAGTACATCTTAGAAAGTTTGAATACCTCACTCGCAGCTACAAAGATGAAGTCAGGTTATGTTTTCATGCCAGTGCACAGCAATGAGGTCGCTGAATTCAGTCGAGACATGTGACTTAAATCTCAGGCATGACCTAGATTCAGAGGGCTGCCCTTCCCTGTATGCTAATATTCTCTCCACCTATTGTGGAGAACCACATGTTCAAGGAGCATGGGAAGCTTGTGTGCAGAACTTTCTAGTGAAACCCATTCTAATAAAATAAAGAAGAAAAAAAACTGACCTGTGTTTTAGTCCTCTACAGATGGTCTCTACTTTGGCCATCTGTGGCAGCTTTTTAGGCAGTCAGGACACACAACAAATATATATCTTTCATCCTACATGAAAAGCATGTTTAGTCCAATTTTCCAGGAGTTTTCATGTTACTCTTAAAAGGTCACATGGTCTCTAATGTGCTGAGTAGGTTTCATAACCACTGAGTCAGTGACACCCATTGAAAGCCTGTTGTATAATTTCTGTGTCATGTTGTGAGAATGAGGTTTTAGGGTCATTTAAGAGCCTCAGATATGGGGAAAGATGCTGATCCATGAAGCTTGTATGGCACAGGCAGCCTTATTTAACTAACTGCTCTCAATCGCTTCTCTCCGACCCAGCAGTGACGACTCGATAAATATCTGTTCCCTTTCAGCATCTGCATTATTTTCATAAGTTTGACATCCAACATTCACTGCTCTGTCTCTGCAGTTTGATATGACAGAGGTTCACTTTACTTCTGTAATCCTGCCATCCGCTCTCCATCACTCCACTCTACCCAGGGGATTTGACTGCCATTAAGAGATGGCTTTTTGATGTGTGTTTTCTATCACGAACGCAGACAGGCACACGCACGCGCATTTGGTGAAGTGGGGTGGATGAAGGGTAAAAAAATGCAGCATTTTTTGTTGGGGAACCGTGGCAGGCAGAAGCTTCTGCTCAGCTCGCTCAGTGATGCTGTTGAAGGTGCCCTTTGTGGACTGACATGGGATGGACACATGCATGACTATTTGGGCAGTGACGTTTGGTACACATGGATGCAACTTTGTGGAAAGAGCTACAGGTATGTTGCTTTGAATTTCTTGGATTTCCTCTGTGATTTGCTGTAAATTTAGCATCGCTGTAAAGACCGACTGTCTGTGGTTTCCTGCCGTTAACAGATAAAACTATCCAACCACACTAGATCATCTAAAGATCTCCAGCAGCATTTGTATAACTCATAATTGTTCATCATTAAGATCTCTGTTTGTGCCATTTCAGACCTCCATTAATCCTGGCATGTCCCAGATGAGCGGCTACAGTAATGACTGTCATCATTTTCACTGGTCAGTCTCAATCTCTTCTCTCTTCCACTGTTTCTGGGCTCATTTGACTTAGTTTCTTCTCCTGCTTTCAGAATTGCTGTGGCTCCATCAAAGACTGACCGATCAAACTGCAAGGCAGGGCTGAATTCGAGCTAATGTGAACCAGATCAAGAGTGAAAGCACAGGCGCAGACAATACTTATTGTTGTGGAGCTAATCTCTGATATAAGCTTGTCTTTCTTAATTTTAATCACATCATCGTTTCAAACGGCCAGTTTAGCCTTCGGGCCACACATCGACGTCACTCAAACATCTAGTCTTTAGTTAAGCAGCAGTGTCCTGCTGTGGATGCAAAATCTTTTTAATATCAAAGATGTATTTATTTATTTTTAATTCATTTTATCTTTTTATTTACTGATGATAGTAGACTTTGAAGGATTTGATGAATCAAAAACATCAAAAACTTGCGAAAACAATATTGTTTTCATGTACAGTAATACGGAGAAATAACAAATAAAGGAAATATTATGAAACACACATCATGAAATGTGCTTGTAGTGGGGTACACATATACAGAATTTCCCAGATTGGATAAATAGTATTATATATTGTATTACTGTTATTGTTCAACAATGATAATTAAAATTTATGTTCAAGGTTAGTCGTTTTGCCTCTTATAATATTTTTAATGATTATGTTGTATCTTAGTCAAGCACTTTTTAAAAACTCCTGTCTGTTGTTTGAATCTGTCACAGTATTTCTGACCAATTTTTGGATGCATAAAAATAATTTCTGTAATTAATAAACCAAAAAAAAAATAATTAAATTCATTGTCAACAAACAACTACAGCAAAAAAAGGAAAACCTGTAAAGTTTTTTGGGGTTTTTTGTTGATTCCACCTTGGTGGCCTCAGGATCTCGTCTCTACTTTTTGTGGATGACGTGGTTCTGTTGTCCTCAGCAGATTTCGTTCTCTAGCTTGCACTTGAGTGCTTCACAGCTTTGTATAAAACTGCAGGAATGAGAATTAGCAGCTCCATATCCAAGGCCATGGTTCTCAGTAGAAAAAGGTGAGGTGGCTGACCCAAAGTGGCGGAGCTCAAGTATCTTGGGTCTTGTTCACAAGTGCCAGGACTTGATGGACAGATTGGATCACTGCAGACAGTGCCCTGATCTGTTGTGGTGAAAAAAGTTCAGATCATGAATACAAGTGTTGGAAATGAACTTTCTCTGAATGGTGGTTGAATGGGCTCACAAAAAGGATGAGGTACAGCCATCTGGAAGGGGCTCAAAGTAGAGCTGTTACTCCTCCAAATCAAAAGGAGCCAGTTCAGGTGGTTTGCACATCTAATTAGGATGCCTCCTGGCTGCCTCCTGGACGAGGCGCTCTAGGCATGTCCTACTGGGTTAGGACACACCTGCAGGACACTGGCCCTCGAGGCCTGGAGTTGGACACCCTTGGTTTAGGCTGTTGCAGTAGAAGGGAATGGATGGATGGTTTGTGGCTGAGCAGTATGACAAGTCAGATAAAACAGCATACATTTATTTTATACTAGAAATACAGTGGGGCAAAAAAGTATTTAGTCAGCCACCGATTGTGCAAGTTCCCCCACCTAAAATGATGACAGAGGTCAGTAATTTG